CCCCAAAACCCCAAAACCCCAAAACCCCAAAACCCCTAAAATTCAAATAAATATTGAAATTTACTCTCAAAATTTTAAAAATGGACCCTGAAGAAGCAATCAACATTGCGAATGATGACAATTACGATCACCCGGACAACGGTACGAATTTTACACCCCTTTTGAAACTAATCTTATAATAAGAGGCTAAATTATGTTTAGAAATAGCCTATGAGGAATATCCTCAGATAGAGGAGAACCCAAAAACCCCGGAAAAAGAAGTGAGAATTTACCAAGAGCATAACGACTTCATAAAGGAGTTCTCTTCCCAAGAAATTGAGAATACAATTGAGATAAATAATGAAATTAATGGCGATCATTCTTTGGAGTCCATTCAAGAAGACATTGCCCATAACGACACTGATTCCATTCAAGATGAAGTAATAGGCTATTTACAAAATTTAAATGAGAAATCAACATTTTCTAAATTTGAGAAGACCCAGAAAAAGATCAGAGATATTAGTTCAAGATTCAGAGGAATTCTTAACAAAAATTCAGCAGAGAAACAGCCGGTTGCTTGTAAGTTTTGAAGCTTATCATCAGTGAATTCTCTCTATTCAGCCCAGAAATATACAGAATCAGTTAGGAAAGAGCAAGGGAGTTGCTACAACAAGTAAACTTAAACTCTTAGACTGTAGGAATATAGAGAGAATTAAAAATTTAAGAAATTCAACCAAAAAGTAACACAAATATGCTTTGTACAGCCTAAATTTATAGAAAACTTACACTCTGAGGCTCTTTCAGCACTTATAAAAACAAGATCTCTGAGAGGAAGAAAACCGAGAATTCTAGTTTCAAGAAGCAGATGTTAATCAAACAAATGAATGAGGCATTTAAGTCAACAAGAAAGTACAGCCAAAGTAATTATAATCCTGATTTTCACCGTCCTTGTAAACCTTCTCTAAAGGAGTACTGACGACCTGGGATTAACAAGGATGCTTTCACTAGCTCTAAAAGAAGCAACAGTGAACTCCAGTATTCTAAAATATGGAAAAGTCATACTCAGACAAATTTTGGAAAATTCCAAAATCCTTGTAATATTGAGAGAAGGGTGGAAACAAAGCCACAAAGATCAAATTTATTGATAAAGAACAGGTTTTCTAATTACTTGAGTACGAAATAGAGCAGAAAGGTTTATCCAACCCAGTCCAATCACCTTATCCTCAATTGAAAGAAGGAATACTTGTGAAGAAGTTGGGAAGAGGTTGTTCACTATCGAAGAAAGGGCGGATATATGCTGAACTCCTGAACTAAAGCAATTGTCCACAGGTTATACCAAGAACCCTATCCTAGCCAAGGGCTCTGAGGGTAGGCTGAAGCACAAGTCTCCATTACAAAGGAATAATAATTGGTTCTAATTTCTATCGTTCTAATGAATTATGGGGTTTTGGGGTTTTGGGGTTTTGGGGTTTTGGGG